ACTTAGTTTATGTTGACTTTTCTCTAAAAATCTGTAACTCCAGAAAATAAAGAGAAAAACATTAGAAAAGTCCCAACTGAGAAACATTCTATAAAATAACTGATCAGTATTTTTAAAACAAGGTAACACTACAAGAAATTATTACAGATTATTACAGATTGGGAATTATTATAGACTGGGAGAAGAAACGGCAACTAAAAGCAAGATAGTATCCCAAATTAGATTTTGGAACAGAAAGGGGCCATTCATAGAGAAGTTTATGAAACCCAAATAGTGTGCAACTTATGTAAGTGTTATACCAATGATAGTTTTCTTAGTTTTGATAATGGTACCATGATTACATACAATGTTAACCTAGAGCAGTGACAGCAAATCTTTTAAAGCTTTCAATGATACAAACAGCCTGCTGTTGCTTGTGTGCCATAGGTTCACCACTACTGTCCTAGAAGAAGCTGAGTAAGGGTACATGGAGATTCTCTGTGCTACATTTGCAACATTTTGGTAAATCTACATTGTTTTAAAAAGACTACCAAGAAGTTCTATAAATCTCCAGAAACATTAGAGAACTAGTATTGGTGGCTACAAAGCCAGTAACTATTGATAAACTGACACTGCAACACTGATTGCAAAAGATTTTATGGCCACCACTGGACAAGGACATTGCAGGCTTCCCCACCACCTTGCATCATCTTTGGAATTGCTGCCTCTAGAATTGGTTACAGCTTCTGCCATTGCCACTTGTCACCAAAATAGATTGTGACCAACTCCTGCTTCTTGCCATCACAGACTTCTGAATTGGACAACGTGTTCACACATTAGCTGCAGGGAGATTGGAATGAGTGACATTTCAGTTTCTATCCCTGGATGCAGGTTCTGCCTCAGAGATTTCCCAGACATAGGAAGGTGATTCTGATGCTCAGTAGCCAAAGAGGAGTACAAACGTCCATTATGGTGAATGAGACCACATCCAACTGGAGTGGTCAGCTAGGAGTTCTGTGAAGGGAGGAGAATGTAGATGGATTTATTTTGTGAAAACAAATTTGAAATAAAAAACACAACAGCATTGGACACTCAGTTGTGCAGAGAGGTATTATTCTAATAGAAATGCATTGTTCTCATGTAAACATTATGTTGAACAAGCGGGAAACAGAGTGCAAACAGAAAGCAACTTTATTTTTATCCTCTACCACCCCTATCAGTCAGCTCGGCACAGCCAGGTTGATGTTTTCAGTCAGAGGCAAGAAGTCCTTATGAGTTTTCTGCCACTCTTGAGTAATACAATTCTAGGGACATTTCAGGCAATAAATAATAATTAGCCTTAAAATGTCCAGCCTCGTGTAATAGTGAAAATTTCAAATTTATATTTATGCTGGTGTCTCCCCTGGTATAGTTTGGGCCTGAAGTAAAGGAAGGAAAAAGCCGCTCTTCTCTCATGTGTGTCCTTCCTCCTCTGGCTGATCATGGCTTCAACACCAGGACTAATGCACAATGTGAGTAGATTGGGAGCAAAACATTTCTACACTACTAGTACTGCCATAAGGTTTGTGCAGATGTTTAAGGCTGATTCTTTTATGAACTAACATACTTCATCAGGTACACTGAAGATCAGGTTTGGCTGGAGAAATGTGGAAGTTGGGGGACATGCCACAGTAGGCCAATGTGCACCTTAATTCTTGCTATACCACTGGATGGGCCATATATACCTCTGGTCATTCCAAGTGCAATATGTGAAGTTGAATCCTTGAATTTCAAGTCCAAACCCTTTCCTTAACTGTTTCTCTGGTCTTGTCTATCCTGTATCCTCATATGCCCTGGGATGTCCCTGTCTTAAAGTATCATCAAAAAGCTTCTTGTAGGATAGCATCATACATCTTCAGCCCACGGGAGTACCTAATAATGTATATCTCACATAAAATAATGTTTGTAGATCTCCAGAAGGCAGCCATTTCCAAGTGTCTATGAAACACTCAATGGCACTCTCAAGAAGTCATTTACCAAAAATCCCCATCCTTCAGCAAGTGAAACAGTGGGCTCCATGCTCACTTTCAGCCTCATGTCTCCCTCTATACGGGGTGAAAAAAGATGCTTCTGAAAGACGGAAGTAGGTATCCCAGTACCATCCCCAAATTCAGGGAAGATCACCCCATATGTTCCATCACTTTTCCCTACAAGCAAATGTGTCCGTTTCAGCTCCATAATAAGAGCCAGATGATAAGGGTAACTTCTGTGTCACTCCCAGCCCACCCACTTAACACAAGATTATGAGGAAATGCATCCAGGTGTTTGAGGAGGCGCCCCTAAGGGTCAGAAACTGCCAAGGCCTTCCGATATGAAAAAGTACTGTGGGATGTCAGGAAAAAATAAGAGATCTTCCATTCCCAGCCCACCTGAGACAGAGTATATACCATCTTTTAGCAAAAATCAGCAGCTCTTCTACTAGTAACCTCTGATTTACAGTCATGTATTTACCAGCCATTTGTTAAGAAACATCGAATTCATTATGACGAAGTTATTCAGTTGTACCTCTGCCTATGGGAGAAGTCGTTTCAGACTGATTTTCTATTTCCAGAACTTTGATCTTCAACAATGACAAGGCTTCGCAAAAACTTTATGCTTTTTCTGAGCCAGCACCAAATAGTAGGCATTGCAACCTTTTCATTGAACCCATCTGGAGGTTAGTAGAATATTCCAAGGCCTTTCAAAGAAAACTCTCTAAACTCTACATTAGTTACTTGAGTAATCACTGAGGTTTGACATCTGGATCTCACATAGTTCTTACTCTAGCAGGCACACTCACAAACAAGAATGTGGATTATCTTAAAGTGCCTGCTTTTGCCTCATTCCAATATGGACAGCAATTTTATTAGTTTGGAGTAGCAAAATTAATAGAAAAAAATAGAGGAAATTAGGTTTTGGGGGACCAGATTATCAATCCTACCTCCAGATATCTAATGCCTGAGGTAAAGAAGCCATCACACTCACTGAGCCAAGGCTGTCTGGCTCTTCCACAAAAAATAGGCATCCTCTTTACCACAGGGGAGCAAAACCCACTTACTGGGTGCAAAGATTTGCTCAGCTTTCTCCTTGTGTGTGCAGAGCCAAAAACACACTGCCATTCTGTTTCCTCTGATGGCCTGGATTAGAACAGACCTAAGAACAATTCTGAATCAAGCTAACCTGGGGTTAAACTCTCATTCTCCCCTCTTTCTAAAACAAAAATACTGAAAGGAGGCACTTTATAATTCAGAAATCCAAAAACACAGGAAAGAAGTAACTTTGGAGGAAGAATAGAGTTTTCTGCAGTATCCGTTGTTCATAGTCAGGATAGAAGATAAAGATCTAAAACACAGGTGAGATTCTCTAGGCCCAAATATCCTTTGCTGCATTTACTATAGATTATGACATTCTTTTTCACAATGACCAGTTAAAATTAGATTGAGTGTCATGAAAACGAGTTAGAAAAAAAATTATTTTCTCTATGAAACACATTAAAGGCATCAGGCTTTTGGGGACACTAACCACATCTTTACCTTTCTAAATATCCTACCTCTTTTTTTTTCTCTTTATGTGTTCCACCTGTTATCATAAGGCAAAATCTTTTCCTTAAGAACAAAGAATATATTTTTAATACATCTTTTTAAAAAGAATGTTATGTGTGCCATTAGCCAGAATTTCACACATACTATGGAATTTTTACCCCTCTATTTTTAAAATATAATTTTTGCCTAGACTCAGTAATGAGTTTATTAATCCTTTGTTGAATCTACAAAAAACTCTTCATTATACCTTAAATTAAAGTCTCTCAAGCTCAGCACTATTAATACCTGGGACCAGATAATTTGTTGTTCTGGGGGACTGTCCTGTGCATTGCAGGATATCTGGCAGTCTGGTTGGTCTCTACTCAATAGATACATGCAACATGCTCCCCCAGCAGTTTTAGATACCAAAAATGTCTTCAGTCATTGTCAAATGTCATCTGTGGAGCGTATCTCTCATCACAGTCCACCTCACCTCCACCGCCACTCCTGGAACACTACTAGCCTCTGCCTGTTAGAGGATCATTAAAACAAGAAGATATTAAAAGTAGACAATAATTTGAAATATCAAAATCTTTGTTTCCCAAGTATTCCAACACCTGAGACATATTTTAGTAGACTGTATTCAGTGCCTATCTAATTGCTATCCCTTCATCTTTCCCTAATTACACAGAGGACTGATCCATTGATGTCTTATGTAGTGGACTCCTCTTGGCCCTAGAAGAGATTATCACCCATAAGAATTCCATTTATCTCTGACAGTGATTGGTTGAGGGATAGGAATCATGTTGCCCAGTTCCAAATAATGAGTCATAAAAGGGAAAAACAGTATAAGGAGAAATTAACCTTATAAAATAAAAATTTTTTTAAATAGTAATGAAACAAGTCTCTTGAAGAAAAAGCCATTTTAGCATATCTTTCTTTCCTCCACTGCAATTTCTGCCTTGGATGTGGCTGTACTGCTTAGAGCTTTGCTGCCAATCACAACTCACACCACAGGAATTGAACCAAAGAATGAAAAGCTACAGCTTGAGGAAGGTGAAACAGGGAGAGCAAGAGCTTCAGTTTTTCATGACAACCTTGAACTGCTGAACCAGCACTGGAACACCTACCTTCACAATGCTCACTAACTCAGGCAATCCAACATTTATACTGCCTAAGCCAAAGACTGACAAACTATGGTCTACAGGCCAAATTCAAGAACTAAGAACTGCTTTTACATGTTTTAAAGGTTATTTAAAAAACAAGAATGAATGACAGAGACTATATGTGGCCCACAAAACCTAAAATCTTTACCATGTTACTCTTTCTAGAAAATGTTTGCCAGTCCCCAACCTAAACCACTTATAGTGGCTGTCTTGTGATTTGCAGCCCAAAGCTTTCCTAATGTAAGCACTAATATCTTCATTTTACAATTACACACACTAATGCTGGAGTTGGGTAATCGTGGGTGAAATGAGACAATTCAATTACAAATTGGGCTTTATTTCAATTTGTTGTAAAGCCAAACTGAGACAACAAAAAAGCATTTAACAAAGTTCTATCCTTTAGCATTTTAAATATTTTTGGTATACTAAGCTTGATTTTACAAATCAGAATAAATAAAGCTTCTTGAAATGCAATGCAGTGGTACTTCACTTTGTGAACTTAATTTGCTGTATGTTTCAGGAGGACATGGCTGCGTCTGTGTTTATGTGAGGAAAATGGTTGCGGTCATGTGTGTCACCCAATGCAGAGTTTGCGAACACAAGCAAAATTTTGCCAGAATCTTTTGTTTGTGAACCAAATTGTTTTCAAAGGGAAGTGTTCATGAACTGAGGCATTACTGTTTGTCCAGTGAATATCTTCCAAGGAGATCTGACTGTCCTGCTATCTGGAGCATCAAGGCATTTCCTGTGTTGGGAAACTAAACCTCGGGACATAAACACATTGATGTGATAAATTTCCTCTCCTACTGCTGAGATAGTTCTTACTCTTCCTGCTGACTCACTCGGAAGTGAATTCTCAATGAAATATATCTAAACCCTTCTTTAACTCTATGTCCCATGTTAACACTGCTATTTACAGTGGGGCCAACATGTTCAGCATCACCTTGGAAAGGGGTCTAAATATCAACAAAATTTATACATATACTGCAAAAGTAAAGTCCAGAAGATGGCATTTATGGAAGAAGGCCTGTGAAAAGCTCATGAGAGCTACACAGAGTTACAATAAACACCCACCAATATCTAATTTGGGGCTATGGCTAAGCACTGAGTGGGAAGCATGGCCTGGCTTTTTTATTTTTTTTAATTCAACAAGCATTTTTTCCCCATTATGTCCCAGTGCCTATTCTAGTATTTATACAAAATAGGCAGTCAATAGAAACTCCAGCCCTCCATCTACACCCAGTATTGGTTGTGTTTCAGCATGGGGTTGGTTTGTCGGCAGAGCTTGACCATGTCAGGATCCAGGTTCATCCAGGTCTCCCAAGGAGCACATTTTCTGATCGGTTTAACCATTGTGGGGTCCATCTGCTCACACTGTAGGGCCCTGAAAAGACCAGCTGGGGGGTTGCTGGAGCTTTGAATGAGGGGCGTCACTATGACAGATGGAACAGTTATGCTTCTTTCTGGCTTGCAACTTGGGGTTGTGGGTTCTAGGTTGGTCTGGGGGTTAATAAGTGGTTTTCCCTTTTTTTCTTTCTGGCCCAGCAGCCAGATACATAAGGTCATTGAAATCACTATCAGCAAAAGGAACACTGCAGCCAAGGGTATGATAACCATCAGAGGGTAACTGATCTCTCTGGGCTGAGTGGATATCCCAGGGCTGACTTTGGTGGCAGCTGGTGGCCAAATGACCCCCATGGAAGAGATCGTGCCATTCACATCTGGCTCTGCACCACTGTGTTGTCCCCAGGGATCTGCTCCCTGCCACCTGGTCTGGGTCAGCTTCCCTCGAGTTTCTGTTTGTGTTGTGAATCCTGACGAAACTACAGGCTTTTTCTGTGAGAAAACTGAGGTCCCAAGGACCTCTCCAGTGACTAGAGGAACATCTGGTGTAAAAGTTTGCAGAAGTAAGAGGTCAGGTGGCACTATGGTGAAGGGGAGATAACCTATTGCTGGCTGTACATGGTCTGCCCTGAGCAAGAATGTGAAAGAGTCATTCAGCACATCAGTGCCTGTTAGATTAGCATGCATGTCAAGTACCAACAGTCCTTGGTCAACATCTTTCTGAGTGAACAGTGTGGCATCTTCCATCATGGTGCTGCGAACCACTCTTCGTACAAGTCTTCCGTGGACAGGGGGCTCTGTCACTTCAAATTTGGGATCACTGTTAGTCATATTAGCAAGTTCACTTGCATCAAGGTCCTTTCTTCTCAGCTGATGAGCCACTCTGTTGGCAACTTTCAGATTTGACATAACCCGCAATAGAGGCTTCACTTTGATGCTTAGTGTTTGCCCCGTCAGGTTGCTTTCTGATGTGAACATTGAGAACTGTAGCTGATCCTCTGAGGCTGTGAGATTTGTCATATGGTAGGACAATCTTCCTGAGTCCAAATCCTCCTGGGCAAAGCTAGTGACCACCTCGTTTTCAATCAGCAAGTGCCCATGTTGGAGGGGCCTTGTTATCCTGTAAATTATGTGGGGGCTCCTTCCATTGGTAACTGCTGACAGGTGAACATGGGTGATAGGGACAATTGTCTGGCCTTGTGGGAGGAGCAGCTCGGTGAGGTTCAAAAGGGTGATGGCGGTGGGGATGACATCCAGATGGAAAAGCTTGTAGAAAGGGCGGTGTTTGCCATCAGTCACGCTAAAGTAAAACACTCCAGAGGATGGGCTTCCATCTTGTATGAACCACACCTGACAGCTATCAATGTCAGCTTGTGTAAATTGGTGACAAGGTACATCTGAATGGTTAGCCATTGCCAAAAAGCCATTATTGGGGTTACGAATGATCACATATCTGATCTCATCTGGAGGACTGTCCGGATCCTCCACTTTCAGGATTTCAGGTCCCACAACCAACCTACTGCCCTGCAGCACTTGCAATCGAAGTCCTTTTGTCTTTAATTCTGGTGCCTGGTCATTCACAGGAGTAATGGTGATGTTAAACAACTCTTCAAGAAAACCAGCCTCTGGTTTGGTGGCAGACTTGCTCTTTTTGTTTGGCCAAACAGCAAAGGTAAAACTATCAGCCAGTGAATCAGAGTCATCGTGAAGGTATGTCACTCCAAATTTATTAATGATGTATTGGGAGAAATTGGGTTTTTCTTTGGTAATATTTCTTTCTCCAACCATGATGGTTCCATGATGAGGAAGAGATGTAACCTGGAACCAAACTTCATAGGAAGAGTGCTGAGATTTGGGTAATTTAAATAAGAGATTGGAAGCATCTAACTTAGATTGGTCAATTAGAACTTTGTCTCCCTCCTTGACAGTAGCTCCTGGTAAAACATAAACATGAAGAACAGTGGCATTTCATTAGAACTTTCAGATGACAGTTTCAGTAAAGCTTTCTCCCTCACATCTGCCTCTTCTAGTATTCTTCTAAGGGCTTTGGTTGCTCAAGTACTTGAATTATCACTGCTACCCAAAGCATATGAAAAAATGAAATTTATGGGTCCGGGATTTAGCTCAGCGATGCTACACCTGGCTCGCAAGCGCAAGATCCTGTGAATTCAATCCCTGGTACCGACAGAAAAAAAAGAAAGAAATTTAAATACAAGCGCAAGGGAAGTGCACTTTAAAATCTTCAGATTTACTTATAATTTAATTTCCTAACTTAGCTACTTCTGGACTTTCTTTTGCTATGAAAACAGGTGCAGCTTTCAATACCCCTTTCCTTTTAAGAACTTACCCTATTTTCATTTTCATTTTCTATCAAGAGTGTTCAGTTGTAAGCATGGTGAAGTTCCCATTTGGAGGTATAAAGAAAATTATTTAAAGCCAAATTATAATTCTTTCCCCAATTCAACCGTTACGCTTACAAAAGGAAAGAGGCCCAGAAAGAGGGCATGCAAAGTAACAGTTCCTTATAAACTGTTCAGTTTTATTTCAAAGGCTATTATAATGGCATTGACAAAAAGGGAAAGATTTATTTTCAAATTGTCCCTACTTTAATATAGATAAAGCACTTACCATTTCTCAATAGCATTACCTGTATTTGCAAGCAGACGGCTATGCCTACCAGGCTCATTAATTTCATATGAAATGGTAATCGAGAATTCCTCAGGGCCAAGAACTGCTACAGGTGGAGAAGATGCCATGAATGTAAAAGAGTCCTCCACAGTCGAGCTGCTGTTCTCATGATCTATATGCTGGTATAGTATCAACCCTTCACTGACCTGGCCAGACAGTGAGAAAAATTAGCTCCTGGTTTCCAGGTTGATACAAAGATTAAAATAGATCCTAACTAGAGGAAACAGATATTTTTCTAGGGCTTACTTTATTCATGTTGAAATTGTTGCACATATTGCAAATGCAGGAACATTAAAAGCAGGGTAACTTATTTTTCAAACTTAAGAGATTCTATTTCAAAATGATCTATTCAACAAAGAAAGAAAAACACACTTAAACGTCAGACAGTTTCAGCAATTAGCAACTCAACCAGTCTTGTTTCATGAGTATTCCTATTGACTTTTCTGCCAACAGACTATTTTGAATCAAATCTTGACATATCAGTTCATATGTAAATGCTTTAGTAGGTACTGGTAAAAGATGACTTTTTTTAAGTTTGAAAGACAATTTTTGCTTTTTTCTTTTTTTTGGTAGTCCTTCCACATTAAAAAATCCCCTATTGTTTGGACAAGCAAGATTTTAGGAAGTCTACATACCGCAGTTAGTATTTCTTATAGCTTTTTTTTTCATGTATGGGTTCCCTTCTTTAATCTTTTTCTTGCAATTTATTTGTTGAAGAAATTGAGTTGTCTTGCAGTGTTTTCTACATTTTGGATTTTGCTGATTGCATCTTTATGATGTTAACATGCCCCTCTCTCCTATGTTTCCTATATAATGTAGTTAAATTTAGAAGCTTAAGTAAGAATTAGGTTCAGTTTTTGGATATGAATATTTTACAAGTTGTACTGGATAATTTCCTTTTTTACTTCGTGGAAAACACAATAATATTTGGTTAACTCTCCTTAAGATGTGTTAAGGTTGTTAGGCGGTTTCGAGTGTTGGCAGGTTGATCCATCTGTTGAAAGGTTTCCCATGACCTGGTCACTTAATAGCTTAACAGACTCAATTATAATATTGTCTTGATCCATTGATGCAATGGCAAAACATTAATACTCTTTCTTTTATCATTCCTTCTTCATTTATTATCTGGCATTTTTCTATAAGGAAGAACTTTCTTTCATCAGCTATTTGGCTACAAAGAGGAATGGGAGGGATAGGAAAAATGCTTGTTTTGGAATCATTACAAACTTATAAATGTTAATAAATACATTATTCCATTGCAATTATTATTCTCATTGATGTTCAAATTGTTCCACCTTGCCTAATGTATTTTTTTTTCTATATTTAACTTGTCTTTAATATCTGTGGCTTGTCAAGGTCCTTTCTAACACAAGTAATGGGGATGGGTTCTACTCTGTGTTTTCTTATCCAGACACCATGTGTGTAGTCCTTCATCAAATATCAGTGACTCAAAACGCAAAACTGTACCTCAGAAGGGAGAGCCACTGAAAAATAGTCAACCCTTAATTCTTAGGAGTCACATATTTTCTTACCTGCTATTTCTTATTGTGCTCTGAACTTACATGGGTTTGTGAAGTTCAAGATTGCACGGAACAAACTATCATATAATTTACAGAGCTATTAAGTCTACTAATCAGCCAACATTTAGAAATGCTGTATTAATTAGCAGAAGTTTTCATTTCTGAATATGTAGTGCTGGCTCCATATTGGTTCAATGACTGTGTCTATAAAGAGTTCTAGAAAGACTTTTGGGCTAGGGAGTTTCTGTGGAAGATAAGCATCCTGTCCTACAGTGTCCAAAAACAGTTGGTAAGGAGATTTTTGTTCCTTAAACCACTGAAGGATACGACAAAGAAATGCTTTCACTTGGGGATTTTAAATGAGGAGAATAAAATGTCATTGCTCAACATTTCCTTAGAAAGAAACAAGATTAGGAGAAATTGGATTACTTGGGTTAAAAGTAATCCAATTTCAATTGGAAATTGGATTATCTTCTTCAAAGATAACAATTTCTAGTTTTAACTAGAGACTCAGTTTCTCAGCAGTTCTAGAAAATAAGTCCTGTTTCATTTAGCAGCCCTATTACTTCTATGCCCAGCTTCTGATTTATGAAAAAAGATTAATCATAAATGTATTTTTTCTCCCAGGAACAAGTAATGTGCCATGGATTTTGAGCCAGAGTATGATTCCTAACAGGTTCCTATCCTGCTTAAGGGAGACATACTATTATATAGAAATTCAGTTTCTTGATATGAAAAGTAACACAATCTATTAACCAGAAAGGAAAGTTTTCTTAGAAGTTGGTCATTCTTGTATATTGGTCCTTTGGTGTAAGTGAAAATTAGCTTCCTGCATATATCAGAAGTTATTTAAATAATCTACATATCTTCTGATATTTGCTGTATTGAGAGCGACTGCCCCAGGGAATGAATGGTACCCCTAAATGAGGACAGTTGAGTCAAAGGTCAGAAATCTTCCAAGGGAAGGACTCCTAAATATAGTTTTGTACTTTGGGAGCCTAATGGAGGAAAAGTCTTTTATAAATTCTATTACTAAAAAGGCATCTGTTTCAAGAGTGAAAAATTAAGTGTGAATAACCAGTTGACATTTTACATTAGAGAATGAGAGAGAAAATCAAATTACATGTATCTTGAGTACCTGAATTTTAAGACTGGATAGGTTACTGAAAGTGCTGAGCTATGTGTAAAAGAGAGTAAGCGTGCCTGTGGAATGCCAACTTGCCAGTCATGCCCAGAACGAGGTTTGCAGGTGAATAGTCTCTAATGTTTAGATACATTTTAGCTTCTACAGCTTTAGAAGCCACGTTCTAAGTGATGTGAATGAGAGAGCAATAGTACACAGTGATGCCTGTATGTTCTGGGAGAAGGACTGGAAAGGGAAAATGAGACCAGAACTTCATGAGACAAAGTATGGGGTGAACCTAAGGAGAGAAGGATCTCAGAGATGGCTAGGAATTTTGGGACCTCAAACAGAAAATAGCCTTAGGAAGAGCTTCCAACAGGTCTACATAATTCCACTGTATTAAATATGGATAGATTAGCCACTAAGCTAATAATAACTGTGCTCTGGGATTGAGGAAAGGGGGAAGGGAATGTTTCTATTTCTTACAGATTTATATTAGTCCAGATATTTTCTTTTTTCCAAGAGTCTTTCTGGAAGGCCATTAGAAAACCAATGGTGTAGAATTCCAATTAATAAATATAGCAGGAAAAGTACAATGAGGAAAAACTACCATTTGGCAAGTATTTTAGCTGCAGCATTTCAGATAGGAAACCTAAAGTGGTTGCTTGAACTAGTGAGCTGTAGTGTAATGAGAAACAGAATATTTTAATAGTTACAAAGTATCTCCTCAGAAAATATTTATTAGACACAAAGGAAATAGTAGAACATATTCTCAGCAGAGAAATCTGAAAGATAGCGTTAGACCCAGGGATGAATGTGAAATTCTTAGTACTGAGACAGAGTGAGCTTCAGAGGCTGCTGGGAGAAGTGCTGACAAGAATCCAACAGTTCCCATGGCATTCCTGCCCAGAATTCAAAACCTGAGCTCTTGCCCAGAACACACGACCAGCACGCTCTGAATCTCATCATTAGGTCACATTAGATAAAACATCAGACAAGATCAAACCTGAGGGGCATTCTACAGAGAACTGGCCTACACTCTAATAAAGAAAAAGAAAAAGAAAAAGAAAAAGAATGTCAAGGCAAGGTCATGAAAGACAACATAACTTCTCTCCAGATTAAAGGAAACTAAAAACATTTGACAACTAAATGCTACGGTGTATGCTGTGGATATTTTTTCTTTTGCTCTAAAGGACACTTACTGGAATAATTTGGGAAATCTGAGTAAGGTCTATCAATTGTATAATATATTGTAGCCATGTTGATTTCATGATCTTAAAAATTGCACTGTGATTATGTAAAAGAATGGCTTTGTTTTTAGAAATTATACACTAAAATATTTAGAGGTAACTAGCCAGGTTGGCAACTGGCTTTGAAAATTTTAGAAGAGTGTGTGAGTATGTGTGTGTGTGTCTTCAAAGAAAGTATAAAGTAAATTTGGTTAAATGCTAAGATTTGGGGAACATGGATGAATAGTATATGAGAATTCTTTTTGCAATTATTCTTACTAAAATGTAAAGTTAAAATAACTTTAAAAATAACTCCCATGGTGTTTTATTACATCAGCTCCAAGAAAGGACCGATCATCTCTTTTCTCTAATGACCCCATTTATGCAGAATGAGGGAGAGGGAGCAACCCACAAATGCTCTGGCCCCCCAGAGATCAAGAAGTGGTTGCTTCCTATCCTGGCAAGTTGGTCTGTCCCTGCCCTCCCAAACTCTACCCCTATCCTCATGCCTCCAACTTGGTTCTCTGGAACTTTAACAAGGCTGTAATCCAGTTACCCATGAATAGACAGGTATGTGGTTCCAAATCTTAGAACACAGTAACACTTTAATTTACAATGTAATATCCCTTGAATCTCTAAGATCTAAGCTTTCTGTATCTCATATCCTTGATTTTTATAAAACCACAAAGAGTATCTGGCAGATGCTAAAGGAGAGATTTGGCTCTAAAAAAAATCATGACCTTACTGACTTTTCTGTTATGGGTTAAAGTTTGCAGCTAAGAAGCTGCCCAACAGCTTAGAGAAGTAGGGAATTTAGAGAATTATGCCTTTCCCCCTCACAGGGATGGCTGGTAACAGAGATAGGAACAACCATATCTCCAGGCCTGCAGATAAGAGCTCCTTCTCCTATGGCACTGTGCTGGGACCCGTTAGGCTCTGGCCAATGCGGAAAACTCAGTGAGATTCCAGGTAACAAAGAAATTCACGAAATATGTTCTCCAATGAGCTCTCTAATGAACCCTCCAATCTGCCTAGTATGATTATGGCAGATAAATGCCACTTTGTGGTATGACTTGACCAGGACATTTAATCCTGGTCAGAGCTGTCCAAACTTGTAATGATTTAAAGAAATAATGTGTCATAGAATGTGTTTATCACAAATGGCCAATTAAAGAAAGGCTGTATTCCAGTTCTACACTAGTACTGTTTTTTATCCCCCATTAATTTTATTGGTACATTTTAGGTATAAAATACAGTTACATTCATCATTGGGATCTTGTACCATTACATGAGTCTCTTGGTTCTTTTATTTTTCCCCCTTCCCTTGTCCTCCCTTCACCCCCTCCACCTTTCCCTATTTGCAAAGACCTTCTTTCCATTTTTTTCCTCTTCTCATATTTTTTCCCTTCCCCTTTTTCCCTTCCCCTACCCCTCCCAATTCCCCTGCTCTTTTAGACTTTTTCTTCCTGTTACACAATATCAGTTATACATTTTTGAAATTACAATATTAAGATCTAGGAGACATTACCAAAGATTTTACAGAATTTAAAAGGATATAGAAAGCATATTACAAAAATCTTTTTTGAAATAAGTTTGACAACTTCTAAGAAGTAACTTGGAAGACAAATTAATGAAACTAACTCTGGAGGAAATATAAAATTTTAATAGCACCTATTAAAGAAAGTATATTCCTAGCTTGAAAACCTACCCATATGACAACAGCAGGCTCATATACATTTTAACTGATAAATTATATCAAACATTTAAAGCAGAAAAAAGGAACACTTCTCCCCTCATTTTAGGAAATCAACATTGTGCTAATACTAAAACTGAATAACGATAATAGAAGAAAAAGTATGAACATAAATAGAAATTTGTTTAACAAAACCAACTCTTAGAAGTCAGATCTGGCAATATATGGAAAGTGGTTTTACTATAGGGATGGCAGTGTTGGTTCAGCATTGGAAGATCCACCTCCAAAAGTCATCATTTTAACAGAGGAAAGGAAAAAGCCATATGATCCTGTCACTAGTTGGAGAAAGAGTATTGGACTAAATTCTACAGCTGTTCAGGGTAAAAGCTATCAGGAGACTAGAAGTAGAACAGAACCTTCTCAACAGATCAAAGACATGTACTCCATACTTCCATGAATGGAGAAGATACAATGCTTTCTCCCCAAGGTGGGGAACAAGGGCATATATGCCTACTCTTTATCTGTCCATTACACTTTGAAACCTAGGCCTAAACCAAAATAGTCTGGCAATAAAATGACACAATTAGGATAGGATTGGCAAGGTAGAAGTAAAATCTTTATATGTAGATGAAATGATCACCTACAGAGAAAATACAAAGAAATCTCTAGGAGCCCCTAGAACTTGTATTGGAATTTAGCAGGATTAGAAAACACAAAGTATATATAAAAATTCAGGTCTATGTAGACTTTCTATAAAGAAGAATTGGATATTGAAATTTAAAAGTTATGTAGGAGTACAAAGGACCTAGAAAAGTAAAAAGAAAAAGAAAAAAAAGTGTTGGAAGATGCTTAGTACCTAATTTTAAGACTTCCTCTAGAGGTACAGTAATCAAGGCAGTGTTGGTGTAAGGGAAGACATATATATCACTGGAATAAAACAGAGAATCTAGAAATAGAACTACACATATATGGTCCACTGAGTTCAAAATATATGATTGTTTAAATTTTTAAAAACTTATTAAAGTAAAAGACACATTGCCATTAATCCCCTTCCAAACATTCCCCCTTGCTTCAAACATTCTTGCCACATCTCACCATTCTTGCCACTTTCTGAGGTCTTTCTGGAAGTCCTCTTTCATGTCACTACAAGGCCTGATCAAAAATACAGTGAATGCTGCTGCCACTTGTCCTCCAATGGAAAGGTAGGCTTGTAAAAACACTACTATGTGCATCCTTGTCCACTTTTCTCACCAGATCTGGCTCCCTGTGGATATTCTTCAAAGTTACAATGATCACAAAAGGTAAATATTTTCAATTGATTCAGGACATCCAGGCAGCCACAATAGTACAACTAACAATACTCACAAAACAGGACTTCTAGAACTGCTTTAGAAAGTGGCAAGAATAGTGGGAGAAGTGTGTTCAAAGTAAGCGGGGGGGTTGAGGGGGAATAATGACAATGTGTCTTTTACTGTAATTTTTTTTAATTTAAACATTCACTGTCTTTTTTATCACAACTTGTATATAATTAGACAATCTCTCCTTTGTCCTTAGAGTCAAAGCATTAAATAAGGCCATTGGTGTGGCAGGTGTCAGCTCTGGAGAGGTAAGGGCTATGCTGTGAGAAGAAACACACAGCGTGGTTTACTCATGAAAGACAGAATAACTCCTCTCCCTACCCCTGACTTGTGGTACTGTTTAGGCTAGAGCGTGCTCCTATCTGCATATAAACCAACGTCAAGGGTCCTTCATCTCAGATACATTGTGCAGCCCTGGTCTGGCTACCATTTGCCATTGCTAATGTTTACTTGGTACTTTCTTATTTGTTCACAAAAGCAGAAGGAATTGTGTGGGGGGGGATAGAAATAAAATCTTAAAGTAACTGCATTTTAATCAGTCAAGACTTTGCTTACCCTGGGCCCTTATATTTAGCCTGGGCTATTCATTTCCTGTGTAGAAATGTGTTCTATTTTAAAAGTGGGTTGTTTCAATAGGAATACACATTCTGATTTCCAAAATTATAAACAGTTTTCAGATTACCAGGTTAGCCCAGTATAGTGACTGCCCTACTGCTCTGTCCACTTAGCTCCACCTCATTGACATCAAGGTAGCTCATGTGGCTTTCTTGAGCCACAAGTGACACTGTGGAGCATGAGCTATAAAGTTATCACATGGCTCTACCATCACTTTTTATCTCTGCTCAAAGAATAGCAATGCCCAAGAGAGAGGCTATTCCTTCAACTCAGACCCTGGAAAAGGGAAGACACATAGAACAGACCCACAACCAATGTACAATATAAGTGAGAAATACAATTTTTCTTTTGCAAGCCACTGGCATTTGAAAGTTGTTACTGTAGCAAAACCTAGAGGATCCTGGCTACTGTATTCACTAAAGCTTATTTAGACCACATTGATCTAAAACACTATATATTTGCAAGTTTGTCTATGTCTTGAGCTCTGAGTAACTATTTTTAAGATTGCAATACGTAGTGTATTAACTATTTTTATTCTCATTACTTTGTTATAAAATGTTTCATGTTTTCATAAAACAAAGGATCATTGAAAACAATAATCATAGTCACAATTTTTTTAAAAAAAGAGAAAGGAATCAAGGCTAGACCCAAGGCATCAATATATGACTGATACCATTTTTGTAACTATTCGAATGCAAACTGACCCTGGACATGTTTTGATGGCTGTGGGCACATTTTAGCTCCCCTATACAATGTAGTTTTCATCCTAATCTTTTCCCCCCTTCTAAACCACATCTGTGAACCAGAGAAATTATACTTCCTCTTTTTAGCATCACATTCAGAGCTTTTACTAGCCTCATGACCTGCCCCTTTAAATGTATCCAGACAAAGGGAACTGCAAAACAAAAGCTAAATTCAATCCTGCCATATCAAACTGGACACATGTTAATGGCAGATACGTAGTTTACCCTTACTATTTCCTCTAAACTTGATTTTGAATTTTTTTTTGTTCCTCAGTAATATAAAGCTATAATCAAATTAGCTATCGGATCCATGCATAAACTGTTTCAGAATGGAAAAAGAAAGTTGAATGGCAAACAAGAGGAATATTTATATTCACAAACTCTCTTTGGAAGCACAAATTTTTAGAAAATGCAGAAAGTGTTGGAAGGCCTATTCATTTCAATAAAAAGGTATGTTGGGGCTGGGAATTTAGCTCAGTGGTTCCAGCGCCTGCCTCATAAGCATAAGGTCCTGAGTTTGATCCTCAGTACCAAAAAAAAAGGTATGTGGATGATGGTACTGGTAATGAAGTTCAAAACACTTGCCTGTGGATACAGATTACACACACACGCAATTATAATATATTGAATAGTATCTAATATTAAATATCAATGTACAAACATGTATGCCCTGCAGGATTTACTCTGCCCACTATGCTTTCAATTTCCTTTTAAGTCAGTCATTAATGATAAAAATTATTCTTTTTTATTACACACAGAGTTTAAATTGTGCAGTGTTTCCTGACAACTATGTCTCATCTTATGCTACCCACAAAGTGTCAGACTTTAAAGCCTGCACAGCTGAAATGAGTAATTGCCTGGGCAACAGAGCATGTCTACTGGTTTACACAGGATGAAGACAAATGCAAGGTCCACCCAGCTCAGTGAAACAGACATCAAGACTCACCAGATATTGGGTAAAAATGAAAACATCCTCTGTGCTGTTGTCAGAATTCATTCTCAGCAATCTCCCAAGTCTAGGGGAACTTAGAACTATAAAAGTTATAGTTCTATTTCCTGCACTGTACACATCATTAGTCACAGCCTTCAGGTCATGAGATGAAAGGGGCTTCATGGAGCCTAAGGAAAGATTAAATCATGTGCATAAGTAGAACACATAGGAAGGCTACCTGTTAGTGAAGTAATTTTTATAACCCTTGAAATCTCCTCGGAAAACACATGGTTATGAGTGTGGGGAATGGCTAGCTCTAACTTGAAATAGGGTTAGAAGGTGCTAGTGATCCTGCAGGCATCTATTTCTGGGGATGATTTGCTACCAGCACTCTTGGAGAAACCAGCTTCTTACCACCCCTGTCTCTCCCAGCCAAGGCCTGAGTGTCTAACCGATCCCTAGAGAAAGATGGCAATGGCATGTGGGTCCTGCTCAGCTCAGGGTATGTGAAGGGAAAGCAGCTTGTGTAGTGCTGAGAACACAAGAGACAGCCCCCTCCTCTTGAGGAGCAGAGATTTGCTCTTCATGAATGTGAGGCACCTCCTGGGAACCCCCATACCTGCATGATTCACGGACCTGTGAACATCAAGGGATTGGGAGGTTGTAGGGGTAGTGACACATGAGTTTTGGTGCTAATGTGGCCTCACTGGTAACCTAAGGCCAAAAAGGTGTGGGCCCACTCAGCTTACAGCAATACTCCTTAAATATTCTGTGGTAAAGGATCAGTTTTTCCTTCCTCATCTGCTATGGACCAATATTTTGTAAAACACAATAAAAATGTCACAGCAATGTCAAATTGCTATAAAAATTTGTAAACACTTTCACTTACTTTCCATTGTTATCAGCTCACAGACTGGAAGGTACATGGATCATACTTTTATGGGTGCCCAGGACCAGAGTAAACGTCCCTTCCCTTTGCAGTTATTTGGGAAATATCCCCAGCCTCACAGGATGAAAGGTCTGAAAGAGATTTCCGTCCTTCTGGCCCAGCTTATTTCATCCCTTTTGTTTTAATCGTTGATAAAGGGCTTTCACGTCAGCCCTTCACGGGTATTTCTCTGAGTAGGTACTTCATAAGTTAATTATGAAGTCATGTCAACCATCCAATAATAACTAAGCCTCCTGAATGACATCCTGTTTGGGCTTTCCTTACTCAGTTTTTGTAGTCAGAGAGCAAGGGCCACCAGACACAATGTTTAAACCACATTGGGCATGAGCTAACTACAAGAAGAAGCCAGCTTTGGGTCTGGATAACTTTTAAACTTGCAAGGATTTTTATGAGCCTGCAATTTGAAGACTTCATTTAAAATGCCTGAGCCCCTAAGATAAGCACTCTGTCCTGGGGCTCCTGGGAGTAGGTGAATGTCAGTCTCAGAAACATAGTTCTAGGGCTGGGGATTTAGCTCAGTGGTTCTGCCCCGCCCGCCTCACAAGCTCAAGGTCCCGAGATCGATCCCTGGTACCAAAAAAAAAAAAAAAAAAAAGAAAAGAAACATAGTTCTGCCCCAAGTTCAGAACCACCTTGGCACAAGTTTGGTTATTGCACAAAATGCTCATGTGATGCTTGTAATTGCCTCCCATGTTCCTCTCACTTCTTGCTGCTGATATTTTTTGCAGTCATTGCTACTCTCTGGTTTCTGGAACTGGGGGACCATGATAGGAGGTCACATCAGGGAGACCAAGGGGAATGTTTCTGTGCCTCTAGTCAATGTTATAGTTATAACTGGGGCCCTTCCTGTCAAGGTGGGGTCATCTCTTCCTACAGATAGATTACATCTCTTATGTGTGTGGTCTCTGGACACCTCCAATTCAACTTTACCATCATCAGTTTCTCTTTGGAACATTATCCCACAGTACTTTCTTAATTACTTCCTTGTTATAAAGGACCCTAATTTATATTAACTTGTTCCTTCACCTCCAAGGTTACCTTTAGAGGTAGGAAGATAAAAGGGGCTCTTTTAAAAATGTTTCTATCCAATGGATAGAAAATCATTTTCAAAAGATATCTGCATTCTGATGTTTATTGGAGCACTATTCATAATATTCAAGATATAGAATGGACCCTTTCACTAGATGAATGAATAAAGAAAATGTGGGACCTGTGCACAATGAAATACTATTTGGCCAAAAAAAGGCATGAAATCTTGTCTGCAGCAACATGAATGGACCTGGACATCATAATATTAACTGAAATAGGATAGGCACAGACAGAAAAATACCACATAATTTCATTTATATGTGGAATCTGAAAAAGCTGAGCTTATAGAAGTAGAGAATAGAGCAGTTACCAGAGGTGATGGTGGGTGGAAGAGGTGGGAGAGACTGGTTAACTGGTACAAAGGCATAGCCAAATAAAAGTAAGCTCTGATACACTATTACACAAAAGTGTGATTAAAGTCAGTGTTGCATTGCATAATTCAAAATCACTAGGAAACAGGATTTTGGATGTTGTCATTATACGCACAAGATAAATGTTTGAGATGATAGATGACCTAAATACCCTGAGTTGATCTTTTCACAATGTACAGAGGCACAAAGGCAGCACTGTGCTCCATAAAGATGTACAATTACTATCTGTGAATTAAAAACAAAATTTAAAAATATTATTTCATTCATCTTAGCCTTCTGGAGTACAGGATCCACCCAAGCTGTTCAAGGTCCAGAGTGCTTTTCACTCAGCAGGAGTATGTCAGTCCCTCACTGTCTTTTCCACCTATGTGACCCAGAGGTCACTAAAGTTTAATTTCTATTCAGCAGTCACTCTGAGTTGCTCAGGCAGTAAAACCAGTTTACCCTATGTCACAACTGCCTGACAAGCATCTCTTCTTGTCCAGCCCAACTCAGAAAAAGACTAAACAGTATCCCCTTCCATTTCATCTTAGAAAAATAGTTGGTGTTTTCACCAGCGAGTTCCAGGCACTTAATTAGGGAAGAATTTATATGAAGTCCACCTAAAATCTTTATGCACAGAATCACTGTTGTTCAGCATAGAAGTCCTCAGAGGGCTCTGTACCATAGCTCTTTGGCAAACCCTCACTCCACAAATACTTCTCAGAGATTTAAAAAGCAAACCAGTACATTAAAGCCCTTGAGAATACTTGGGTAAAGAAATCTGTTTTATGCTTCTCGTAAACACTATTTCCTAAACATACTTTTATCCTGGTTCTTTGTTTCATAAAAAACAACCACTACTATAACATCAAGAGTTTCAGGGTCACTAAACATGGAAGCTTCATACATTTCTTCAACAAACATTGTTAAGTACCTAATATGTGAAAAGCCCTACAACAAGGAGCAGAGATGTAAAAATTAAGCATACTAATCCAAAAATCCAAAATCTGAAACGCTTCAAAACCTGGAACTCTTTGAGCACAGACATGACTCCACCAAGTGGAAAATTCTGTATCAGACCTCATATGATGGGTTAGAGTCAAAAATGTAAGCACATAAAAAATACTGTACAAAATTATCTCAGGGTTTGTGCATAAGGTGTTTGTGCAACATAAATGAATGTCCAACCCCCAAGATATCTCCTTGTATATATGCAGATATTTTTTTTAAAACCACTTTTGGTACCAAGTATTTCAGACGAGAGATACTCAACTTGTACCAAGATACCAACATGGATATGGTCCCTCCCTTTTCTTTTATATATCATGATAACCTTAAGAAGTATATAGTTGTTTCCTTATCATCAAGAAAGGGATGTAAGAAACTTACCTGATGGTCAAATATAAGTCATGCTGATTCAGAAGTATTTTTAACACCACAGTATTGCTTATACCACTCTACTTTGAACTTAGAGGGTGACATGATATCTGAGTTAGGAAATAATGTGATTAACAATTCAATATATCTGATAGATTTCTCCCCACCTCTCAAATACATCCTTCTCCTCCTTGGTCTTCACTTTGCAATTCCCTGGCATGCTCATCCTTCCTCATCGGCAGCTGAAAGCCTATCTTGGTGAACAAGCTCTCCCTGGCCCCACCAGTCTGTGAGAAATCCATGTACCCACCCCTTGAATGTAAGTCTCATTTCATCAATTAGCAACCCCTTACTTCTATGAGGATTGACAATCTTTTCTTACAATTCTTGGTTATCTCCCACTAAGTCTTGCTGACTAACAATTTATGAATCTCAGCTCTATATTCTTCAGCAACACACTGTGAGTCCCTTCTCCCTTCTTCTCTCCTTCAATTCCTACCACAGGCAACCGATGGTTTGCTGATGAGATGTTATTCCCTCTATATCATGCCAAAGATACTGAAGTCACAGAGTTTGCCAGGAAGACCCTCCACTCACGGTCTACTTAACTCTGGGTATATGTAAGCTTTTATTCTAGACTAGACCATGGTAGTGAAACTCTCAGTGTAAATCCCTCCAACATTAAAGGCAACACTCCTTGAAAAAGAGCCAAGTACAGTTTGGATAAACAGAAGAACTAAATCCTCAGGCCATAGTGTTTTCCAACATGTACCACTAAAGATAAACAAAATCAATGGTGGCATTCAATGTGAAAAACTGTTACAAAAATTTGTTTTCTGGGGAATGAATCCTGCAGAAATAAAGAGAATATGTTTCAATGAAATAAAAAATATATACACATATATATTGTACACACATACATACATATAC